TCAAATTTCACAAGCTACTTCGGTCCCACTCAAAATATGTATATTAAGCCAAGTGTGAAATAATTGGTAAGCAAGGGTCATCTCTAATGAAGGACCCACAAAAGATTGATTATCCAAATTAAACAATGATCAATCATGAATCATAAACCAATTATCATCCTTTGATCCCATCACTCTGACTCTGACAGACCCCTTCAAGCCGTGAAAGCCGTGTGAAGTTTCTTTAATTTTTTTGTTTAATCATATACCTACTTCTCTTAAATTCGAGTTTAAGTCAAATTAAATCGTAATAAGAAGAGTTATCTCAACTCGTGTTGTTTCATTCACTCAATTTAAATCAATAATTTATTTTAGTAGAACCAAACTTCTTCTACCAGCTTGGACTATTTGTTGTAATAAGAAGATTTATATCGCACTATATATTGTTTTATTTACAAAGTTTAAACTTGAGACTTTATTTAATGAGAATCAAACTACTTCTACCCGGGTGAACTACTTGTAGTAATTAGGAGAGTTATATCAACACGTATTATTGTTTCATTTATGAAGTTCAAACTCGACACTTTGTCTAAGAGGAACCAATTAAACTTCTTCCAAGCTAGTAAGTTGAATCACTTGTTGTAATTAGGAGAGTTATCTCAACACCTATTGTTTCATTTACAAAGTTCCAACTTGAGACTTTATTTAAGAGGCCGGAACCAAGCTTCTTCCACCAAGTTAACCTACTTGTTGTAATTACGGGAGTTAACTGATCTCAATACCTGTTGTTTCATTTACAAAGTTCAGACCCGATCGAGACTTTGTCTAAGAGGAAACCAAGCTTCTTCTAGCTGCAGGTTGAACCACTTGTTGTAATTAAAAGAGTTAATATCTCAAGTCCCTATTGTTTAATTTACAAATTTTTGAACTTTAGACTTTGTGTTAGGCAGAGGCTAGGAGAACCTTGGCAGAGGCTAGGAGAACCTAATCACGCATCCTACCACTCAAAATATGAAGTTGACTATTATTTAAATGTAAAAAGATAAAGTTACACATTCACTATTAGCTCTATACTTTTTGACACAATGATAAATACTTGATTCTAATACTTTGTCGTAATTAATATAGTCATTTTAACGTACAACTATTATTTCATTTACAAAGTTTCATGTGGGATTAATTAATAATTACTTTGAATTAATTACCCATGCACATACAGATAAAGTTGGTGCCCTCTTGCCAAACATAATATAGTACCAGCCAGCTAAGCTAGGATTTTGAATATAATAATTGTAGCTTTTGAAATTAAGACTGAGATTTTGATTTATCGTGTCACTTTCAAATCCATCCTTATCTCCCCAACCAAAATATTTTCCCACACACATAATTATTGTGACTTTCTAATGCATGTATATGTATAGATTCCCCTATGATGATGTCTCAATTTGGCTGGACGTACCTTTTAATATACTAGTACTATATGATTCCTTAGATTTTTATTTTATTTTATTTATTTTTGTATGCCATATGTTTTGTTTGTTAGTTCCCTATTATTTAAAATAATATAACTCTATTAATAAAAGTTTTTTTAACACCTAATTCAGAAAAGAAACAAATTGAATGAGTAGTGATTCACTAGTCTTCACACAACAATCTCTTCCCAATCTTAATTGCACAACATGTCTTCAACGTTTGCTTTGATATTCATTGTGTGGATTAAACCCTTACCGTTATGACAGAAGTTATAATAGTATAGATAAAATGTAACTTAATATTTTTATACTTACAGCTCGTTTGGTTCGCTAGAAAATATTTGAAGGGAAATGAAATTGAAATTCTATGAAAAATAAATTTCAAGAAAATAGATTCCATTGTTTGGTTGGTGGAAAAGAAATTATTGGGAATATGAATTCCATTGTTTGGTTGAGTTTGGAATTGTAAAGAATAATGAGTATAATGACAAATATAACTCTAAACAACAATAATAATATAATAATAATAATAAGAGTAATTAGTAAAGAATGGTGATGGTAAAATTGTCGTATTAGTTTTCCATGAAAAACAAAATACCTAGGATGAGCTAGGAATTGGTTTTCCCTATTCTTAATGAAAACTTTTTCCAATGGAAAATGTTTTACATCCAACCAAACAACATAAAATATCATTTCCATCCAACCAAACACCCCCTTATATATCAATCAATGCCAAAATTTGATAGTAGGATACTGGATTTGACTTTTCAAACCTCAACTCTATACAAAGAAGTTAATAACTTTGTTTTGTTGATAGCACGGAGTATATACACTAGTGATCTACTTCCTCTATTAAAACTACAGAACATGCCGGAATTCTCGGGATTAGGGTGTAATTTTTTAATTTAAGACATGAAATATTAGTTAAGATCCCAAGAGTTGAACTAGCTACAGCAGTCCACCTGTCCCAAGAAAATGATTGTTTTAGACGAATAGAAGACCAGGCAAAATATTTGTAAAATATTCCAATTAAATTAGTGAAAAATTGTTTGGTTGGTTGAACATATATTGAGGATCCCCATGAAGTAATATACTAAACACTGTTCAATTGGGGATGAACAGTGAATTGTTGGTCAATTCATGATTGTTTTACTTGGCTTTGCTAGTTGCTACTCTTCATCTTGAACTAGCTAGCTAGGAACCAGGTTAGCTCCCTACTACAAGTTTCCATGGAATCATACTTTTTTAAAACTCGACCAAATTTTCGATTTCGCCAGACTATATCATAAACTCCATGAACCGACCAGTTAAAAGGTCAGCGAAGAAAATAACAAATTTTTAAAACTAAGATTCTTGATTTCTTCAGACTATATGACTAGCAATCAGGCCAGCGAAGAAAGTAAAAATTTTTTGTTTTCTTCTAAGATCTGTTCTTAATATCTGTAACATTTTGTTGGATAATGGTGGGTGTGATTAACATTAACTCGGACAAACAAGCAAAGCATGTTAAGGTGGTACATATAATGACACAACATCATTGTCAAAACTAAAAAGAAATGCACAAAAAGAAAGAAAAAACTTTATTACCATGTACTGTCAAAGTAAAGGAGGAGTATTTTCATTCATTCATTCAATTCAAATCTCATCAGAATCAGAATACATACATACACACAGAACCCAAGAAACTGATGATGCTAAGCTCTCTTCCATCCCTTCTGAGTGAATCAGCCATACCCCCCACGCCCCTCCAAATCTTTATGACAGGTACAATCAGTAGTAGTAGCACTGGTACATCCCCCTCTCATCATCTGTCTTGTTAATATCATTAAACAACATTAACCTGTTGTTGTTGTTGTTGCAAACGCTGCTGCTGCTGCTAACTAGCTTCCTAACAATGTCTAGATCATTATTGGCAGTGTTCCCAAAATACCCATTGTTATTCATTATCTGGTCTTGATGATGATCAAACCCACCATTGTTGTGGTCCCAAGAATGGGCATTTGTGGATTGGAAACGTGTGGCCCCTAGTAGGGGGTGATGATGATGATCATCAGCTTCTTGCTTGATTTCTGGTTTGCTTCCATAGCTGATACCATCAGAAGAGGAGCCACTGGCCTCAGTCCCACCAAACATGAGTAAATTATTGCTATTATTTTCACCACCAAACTGCATGAGGTTGGAGAAACCCTGATCTTGGCTTTCAAAGCTGTAGGGATAGGACTGATTATCATACAACAAGTTTGGGTTCTGGGGTGCAGAGAGGGACTGGTGTTCATCAAGCCCAGAAAATGAGCTTTCTGCTGGGGTATAAAATGACAGTTGTTGTGTGTGGAGGAGATGAGGAGGTGCAATAGAAGATGAAGAAGAAGAAGAGGAAAACAGCATTGGAGATGACCTTGATCTGTGGTGAGAGGAAGAAGAAGAAGAAGGGTTGTTAAGGAGCATCATTGCCATCACCTTCTTCTTCAACTTGGTGTTCCAGTAGTTCTTGATATCATTATCAGTCCTTCCTGGTAACTGGGCTGCTATTATTGACCACCTGCCATTTTCACATTCTTATTTTAATTTCTTCTTACACAAACAACCTAATTAACTTATATATTGAAAAAAAACAAAAGTCTCACATGCAGATGAAGTTTATGTACAAGGAAGAAAGAATCCTATCTTTTCACAAGAAAGTCAGTTTATAATATAATCCAACCACCTATAGATTTTTCCAATAAGACTTTTTCTGTTTCTTTTTCCCATTTTTATCACCATGACAAGATTCTTTCTTTCCTTTTATAGTGGGAACACAGAGATCAGATCCTACACCCAAGAATCCAGTGCAATTACAGAAACAAATATAGATAGATAGATAGAGCAGGTACCTGCTGCCAATAGAAGCATATAAAGTGCAGATGACTCTATCTTCTTCATCAGAGAATTCACCATGCTTTATGTTTGGCCTGAGATAATTCAGCCATCTCAGCCTGCAACTCTTCCCACATCTCCTTAGCCCTGCACAAAATCAACCAAAAACAACATGAATACACAAACTTTTAAGAAAGTGAACCAACAGAAATTAAGGGAAAAGATGAGATGATTAAGGGGGAAAATGGGTAATTAATGAATAAATTAGTTACCAGCTTTGTGAGGGAGAGCAATCCAGTTGCCACCAGTGCCATACTTGTGAATGAAGTCTTTAAGCTTGGCATCTTCTTCAGGCGACCATGGCCCTCTCTTCACGTTCGCTTTATCACAGCAAGGAGCTCTCCCCATCTCTCTCTCTCTCTCTCTCTCTCTCTCTGCTACTCTCTAGTGCTAAGTTGTGCTCTTAACATTCCACTTGAAAACTGTGGGTGGCGAGAGAGAGTGGATTTACCCTTTTGCCTGCAGGAAGAAACAGACAGGAATTGCTTGCTATGAGCGTTGTGTGCTGTATGTTGCTGATGCCAGCTTATATAGATGGAGAGAGAGAGAGAGAGAGAGAGAGAGAGAGAGAGAGTACTTCCTCAGGAAGAACAGTACAGTAAACGAAATAGACCAATGGTTCAACTTTAAGATGGATTGGTTCTCACTGACTTTGTATTTACAAGATTATGGAAGATATATGGACCAAATTTTCACTGCTGGCCAGGTAAACTATCCTATTTCACATCATCACTAGGAGATGAATGTTAGGTAATAAATTTAGAGGGAATCTAATATAATTCTTCTCCATATATTATTTAGTTTATTGTAAAATTTTCTATGAGACAGCCTCACAAACCTCACCTTGAAACACCTCAAGTTTTTCATAAATATTGTATTTTACATTATAAGTATTACAACTTTTCTAATAAATAAGCCTATCTTCAATTTCTAATATTACATTTTGATTTAAAAATATTACATTTTTTTTTCTCAAACATATTGCATTATTTTATCTCATAAGTAATATAATAATCAATCAATTTATAGTATTAGACTTTTTTTTTTTTATAAGAAATTGTTCAACTCCTAATTAAATATTAAATATTTAAATTTTGATTTAAAAGTATTATATTTTTCTCAAAAGTATTATACTTCTCCTTATAAGTGATTTTGCCACATTTAGTCCTAAACTTCTAAATTGACCACCTATGTCCTTCGACTTTCAAATTGTTACCATCCGTGGTCCAAGTTAACCACGTATGGTCCTAGCTTCAACTTTTAAAATTGAACTAGTTGTGGTCCTCTTGAAAGGACCATGCATGGATGGTTAAATTTTGATAGTTAAAGGACCATATGTGGGTAACTTGGATCATAGATGGTAACAATTTGAAAGTTTATGACTGAACGTGGCAAAATCACTATACTTGGAGGACCTCAAATGGTGTTAAGTCTTTTTCATCTCAACATGATATGTCTCAAGAATAAAGATCTGTGAGATGGTCTCACAATAGATTCGTCCTTTGTTTAATTTTGTTTAATTAATTTATAATGAAATTGGTCTGATCTATACACCTATAATCAATATGAGTAATTTAGTGATGTCAGTGATCATGTAATCAATTGACATGAGTATTTAACTTTAAATAATCTATCATAAATTCGATAATTTATTCGATCCCTTGCATAGTTCCATGCACAACACAAAAATAAGAGGAATGCTAGAATTATATAGTCTCTATTTTCACTCCCTTACGTGTCATCATGATTGTCATAGACTCCTTCCAAATGCTCTGTCGGGTCGGGGTGTGTGGGGCTCTTAGGGTTGGGGTTCAGCCTTTTGGAAGAATGATTGTCATAGACTTTAATTTGTGGTTGATTATAGTATAAACTCCTTTTAATCCAAAAGATATCTCAAGTGGCAAAGAAACTTTTTTGTGGGGATCGGACGATTATAGGACTAATCCGAATTCGATTTCCACAAGTGACAATTCTTCTTGGGTCAGCTCCCACAAAGAAAATAGTATAAACTCTTTTTAGCTTGCAGTGAGGTTGATCAAATAATAATCTCATTACAATGTATCCATGTATAATCGGAGATATATAATTTACTCATAAATTTAATTCCACAATTAAAATACCACATGTCCCAACCTTAGGGTTGATTTCTATCAAAAGTCAATTTTAGTCTTTATACTTAAAATATTTAGTCTATTTTTGTAGAATCATGTTACAACAAAATATAATTTGTATTGCTTAATACGATGTAGTGTGATGACATCTCAATTTTCATTCTAAATATATGGTCGTAGGTTCAAACTCTAGTGGTGGGACTTAGATTCATTGTAAAGAATCATGAATATTTCAAAAAAGAAAAAAAAGAAATTGTATTTGATTAATAAGTAAAAAAATTTAACGCGTGGAGTTGGTTAAATGTTAATTCACATAAATAAAAAAAAAATGGTGATTTTTTTTTTTTGTTTTTTGTTGTAGTCTATGTAACTTTATTATCTATTATTTCTGTAATTAATTTATGCACATATTCCTAAGTCTTTTTTTTTTTGAATGCTACTAGCTCTATTACATTGTAGCGCCACTGAGGCTTGAACTTACAACCTTCCAAATGGAAGTCCAACTCGGATACCATTGGACCATATATTCCTAAGTTAATCATTATCGATGTCCTCCCAAAAATCAACATTTTGTTGGTAAGGGTCTAATTAAATCCTTTTTTTTTTTTGAAGAAGTAAGGGTCTAAATCCTTAGCAGTAAAATATGTAGACATTATATTAATTAGCGGCGGCTGTATCTTGGTCGTCTATGAAGTTTTCTTCGTATACCAAAACATAGGCCAACACTATTCTACGCAACCATATGCATTAGACAATTAAACTCTACCTATAATAAAACAAAATGCATTAAATTAAAGCAAGTTGCATCGTAGGTCGTTATTGCACGGTAATTAATTTTTTATTATTAAAATACTCCGAGTCTCTAACAATATATGATCAGTTTTCTCATATATGGGAAGTTTCTATGAAGTTACGAAAATATGCGTAAATTATAATAGTTGTATTAAAGAAAGATACAAAACTTTCACTTCTTTAATTTATTATGCAATATCTGTGACATGTGAAGTTATACATAGACGCACATAAACACAAAAATTAATTGTGTGCTTAGCTTGTTTGCAAGAAAATAAACTTTTAGGGTTTGTTCAATATAGAGACAATTGTTCATTCTAGTTTATTGTCACTATTATTATGAGATTAATCTAAATTTAGTTTGGATTACACTTGTAGAGTCGAACTCTTGTTTACTCTAACTGAGTTCGAGTTGTATTAGCGGTTACTTATTAAGCTAAGAGACGTTAGGTTATTTCAATTTCAATTTAACTTGTTTTAATAACTTTTAATATATATATATATATATATATATATATATGTGTGTGTGTGTGTGTGTGTGTGTGTGTGTGTATATATATAGTTGAGTCCAAGTGCGGTCGCGCCTTCCCGTGCGGTTAGTGCAGCCGCACCAATAGTTATGCAAATATACATCATCAACGTTAGGAAATGCACAATAAAAAACGCACAAATTAGGTATGCATAACAAAAAACACACCATTAGGTATGAATAAAAGCACCACGCAGTGATTGGAAATACACCATTAGGGGTGAGGAGTTATATGGTGTATTTTTTGAGTGTGTTGTGATTTTTTGGTGTATTTATGCATTTCATTGTTTTGTATTTTCCTATACTATTTGCGCATTTTGTTAACACTATTGGTGTATTCTTCAAACGGCCGCACGGGAGGGCTCGACCGCATTTGAGCAAACTTATATATATATATATATATATATATATATATATATATATATATATATATATATATAGCGTGATTCATGCTTACTCTTATTGCCACTTCCGCCATAAATGAATTTTTGATTTAATTAGTCCCCTAGTGTGTTTCACATCAATATTAGTGCCTTGGCGCAGTGCACCTTCAAAAATAAAATCAAATCCATCCTCATTTTCCAAAAAGACGATGATAATAGACATAGTTTCTCATCTGTGTTGAATATATACGGTAAATTAGGTGTACCGTTTCATCAATGCCCAATGCGTGATTCTAATTAATTGACCAAAGTTCATGGTAAATTTTATATTTTATTTTTTGGAATAAGGTTCAAATTGGCCACTGAATGTAACCTGAAAAATGCAATTAGGCCACTGAACGAAAAAAAAAAAAAAAAAGTGCAATTAGGCCACTGAACACTTTAAATGTATGCAATTTTACCTGATAGCAGGTTATTGATAAGTGCTAATTCTTTGTACTTTTATGTGCATAATTGATATCAAACTCATATGATTACATGTTAATTGGAACCTAAGTATGTGCCTATTTGATTCCTTTGTGTCATTTAGGTCATTTGGAGGCATTGGTTGTAACTTCATGTAAATTGGAGCTCAATTGGTTGTGTTTTGAAGTCATCTTGACAGAAAAGCAAGTTTCGGGAGTCATTAGAGGTCAAGAAAATGAAATAAAGCGAGTGGAAGTATCATGACATGACCCGGGGACCCAAAGGAACAAAGGAGATGAAGAAATATGCATTTTGAAGTGAAAAACATGGGTCACGCTGGTGGTCACGCTGTGATTGCCAGCGTGACACCATTCTGCTTTGTACTTTTTTCTGTCAGGTGAAATCTCGGTAATTTGAGCATATCTTGAGGTAGGAGTGTCCAAATAGCGTGATTCAAGTGACATTAGAACGGAAACTCAGAGAGCTACAATTTTCATGCAAACCACAGAGGCTAGTTCGGACGTTTATATCGTGAAAATGGTCTAGAAACCAGAGATACTGTGCAGAGTAAGTGGTCACGGTCAACGTCACACTGTGACCGCCACCGTGACCAGCAGAGACATGCGAGGTTTAGGTCTGGTCACGATGAAGGTCAAGTCGTGACCTCCATCGTGACCAGGCATTCTGGAAGCAGTTAAAAGGACGCGATTCCAAAAGTATAAAGAGTCTTTAGGCGTTATTTTCAGGCTATCTTTCAATTTTCAATCTCCCTCTACACCTTCTCTCCATCCAAACCCTTTAGAACAAAAATCGATTGTATTCCATCATCTTTTGGAGAAGATTTAGAGGGAGATTACCGTATGTAATTGCAACTTTCACTTTCAATTTCAGATTTACATTCTACAAATTCAATAAAGTAAGGATTTCTATCTATTTCTTATTTTTGTACTTTACAAATTACTTTTGAAGTCAAATTCATTGTGCATTATTTTAATTGCTTTTAGTTTATCAATTACATTATGAGTAGTTAAACTAGTTAGGGATTTAGACTGAATTGCTTTGTATGAATGTCAACATGAATTAAATTGGACAACCTAGGGTTTGCAATATCTTTAGAATGAATTTGATTGTGTATTTGGTAAAATGTTTTGACTCTTGCTTGGTTAGGGCCCAACTTTGTAAGGGGATTTGGATTTGCTGTTTCACCTATGAGAATAGGGATTCACCATTGCCAAACCTATCACAATTCTAACTCACTCTTGAGAAAGGGGAGTTGGAAGGGATAGAGCACACAAGGTATTTGATTAATTGCATCATCTAGTCTATTTGCCATGAGAATGGAATTAGAACTTAGGT